TAGCTCCAGCACTGTTATGCTATGACTAGAACCTTTATGCCCTGTGCATTCACTGACAAGGTGCTGTCACACATGAAAAGCTCGGCTGCTGTTAAAGTCATGACTTTGATCTGGGCCAGGGAGCCGAAAAGATGGAGAATGTCTTAATCACTGGTTCAAGAACATGAAAAGCGATTGTGAGAAGGGGAGGACTCCAGTCCTGTAAAGGACAGAATGAGACAACATGATCTGAACCTCTGGAATGGGTGTGGGAGGTCTCACTGATACTGTTCGGAAAGAGCTCAGCAAAGCTCTTGTCTGGTAGCTAAGACATTTGAATTCCACTGTTGACTTTGCTATGAATGCTCTGGGTAAGCTGGGATAAGCTGTCTCGCGTCCTTTGTCGCAGCTTCAGGATTCATGAAGTGAAACGTTTATTTAGTCGAAGTTCTTCCACTAGCAGGAAAAGAAATTGAATCTGGCGTAAATGAGGTCGTTCATGATACCGAGACAAAAGTTTCAGAAGGACGAGAGCCAGATGTTCCAGAGTTTTGGACAGGGCCAGAATTCAAGGCATAGCATAACCAGGATGGCATAGGGACAACCTTGGAATGGGTACCACATTTGAGCTGGGATAGAGAGCCCCTCAGCTGACTGAGGGCGAACTCCTCAGTTACCGGATCAGAGAGAGGTCTGGGGTAGTGTCTCAGGAAGGGAAGCAGCAGCCATGTACCAGCCAGCATGAAAGCTTTCCAATATTTTAACAGCTGGTACAGCTGCATCAGGGTGTTCTGCTAGATGTTAGCGGTATATCTATCAGGTATGAGAAGCTTTTGTTGCTTCAGGCCTCATTATTGGGGTGAGTCGATATTAAAATTCTTTGATTTTTTTTTCTCTCCTGTCCCATCACTTAATATTCACATTTCAGGGAGAGAATACCTCACTGGCTTAGGTCTGAGCATTTGTCTATGCTTGACTAGGGGAAAACAGGGCACCCTGAATGACATTCTGCCGTCCTTCCTCCTGCTGCCACTGCATCTAATGGAGTGGAGGCAATTCGCAGCTCTGCTTCTCCAGGGTGAGATAAAACGCACTGAACAGCTGAGAAGGCAAGGGCAGCAGTCAATTAGAAGAGACACGGGCCCTTGACCATGGGGCTGGGTCCTGAGGGCCCCCTTCTGTGCTGGGGTTTAACACTCTGTTACTGGATGTAATGTTGGAAGATTAGGGCAGATATGAGCGTCCCAAGAACAGGAATGGGGCAGTCAGCATAGAGAGGAAAACGTGGGAAGGGATCAGGGACTAGGGCCGTGGTCATTGCACATAGGTAGGCATACTGTTATCTGCAGGTGCCTGTTGAGGGACAATGGATGCTGTGCTGGGGGCGGGAGGAGCTCGCAGCTGGCTGTGCAGAGGGGTTGGCATAGAATTGCAGATAACTCATCAGCTAGAAACTGCTCTTGCAAATGTGCGGTAATATCTTTGGTTTTCACAACATCCAGGTGATGGGGTGAGTGCACTGGAATTTGGTCAGGGGGACCAGAAATGATCAATGTTCTATGAATTCTGAGGTAGCCCTGCTGTCCTGCCTCAAATGCCAGTAGCACCTCAATTAGAAACAAAGAATTTTCCAGCTAGAGTGGCGAAAGAGAGCTGTGTGTAATAGGAAGAAGGGGGATAGTCAGAGTTCAGATCATATAGCTGCTATTTATTATTTACTATGCATTAAGGCCATCAATACATGCTATTTAATCTGCATGATAATTCCTTAAGATATAATTATTACTTTCATTTAAGGTGTAGGTACAATAACTGCACCAAAATGAGACAAGCAAGGGCCACAGTCCTTCAGTTCAGATTTAAGTCCAAACTCTCCTCACGAGGTTTCAGTGTGTGTGTGTGGTCTTTTATATAGAATGGGATTCAAGCCATGTCACAAACTCAGGATAAGATGCTGAGGAAGAGGTGCTGAGTCCTTAAATCAATTACTGTGAACAACTGACATTTTTGGCTATCACTGAAAAGGACCCAGGTATTCATATATAGTTTTGGCTGGAAAGGAGACCTTTGGGTAGGGTCTTCTGGACTTGTTTTTGTGATAAAATTCTCAGTTCACGACTCGACTCTGAAGGCTGACTTTGAGATAAATCTTGGATAAACACTCTTGAAAGGGCTGGAAATTCACACTCTGCCACAACTACATTGACAACTGATTGAAACCAGCCATTTGACTCAACATTAACTGAAGTTTGTCTACATTTAAAGTGAAATGCAAGAAGTCAAAAGCTAAAGAGATGAAACTGCATTAGAAATTTTTACAATAATATTTTATATGGTTACTAAAGCAATATTAAAATTATAAAAATGTGCTGTTGCGCACGTACACTTATCACACACACACACACACACACACACACACACACA